GCTCTGTCTGGCCCCAGGGGTTTGAGTTTGCAGGACCCTGGTGCTTCCATTTCTCACGATTGGGACAACAGAAATGACTGTGGGTGTTGACGGAGGGCGATGCCTCTGATTTCCCACAGAAAGATTCCCCTTGGGAAATGAAAAGCAAACGCTCAGCTGAGCGGTTCCAAGTACCTCAGGATAAGGGCCGTTTCCGTGGTGCCTCGTGCTGTTCTCCTGGAGAGCTTTCTCTCCACTGCACAGTACAGCCGTGTGTTCTGTGATGTGAAAATGGTGTCTCCCCCTAGAACATCTTTGAGTAAGATCAGTATGCCAGGAAGACAGACAGACTCTGAGTTCCCTGCCCACCTATAATTTCTCCTTGGGGGTAAGTACAGAATTCTCAAGTGTTTCCTTTCATTGTATTTTTTTGGTTTTATAAGTAAGTGTTTTTGTGCCTTGTCTTTAAGACGTTTTTGGTCTTAACAATACTGAAGACTGTTTAATAGCTGTTTGAATCCTTCTAAAAGGTGATCATCATTTTGGGTTTTGTTTTAATACCATAATCTATTCGCACACATGTTTTCACTGGTTCAACATGGAGGTTGTGACATTTTATGAGCTAAAGAATCTGCTTTAGTCCTTGCCTGTTCCAGGGACAATCCACAGTCACTCTTCACTTATAGTCAATGAGCTGGAGCCTGATTCTCTGAATACGTCTTCATCTCGTCAACCACACATAGAGACATGTTGGTTACTGTCTGGGATGAGCAGCTTTGGTTCCGAGGTGCACAGCATGAAGAGAGAGTTGGTATGAGGTGGAATGTGGAAAGTACCTTTAGGATTTCTTTTCAGCTGCAGAAGCGGGTCTCTGCTGCTGCTGGTCCCTGGAGAAGGAGGAGTCACCATTGCTTGGGTTTCTGCAGAGGATTGGCTGCTGCAAAACTTCCCTTAGACCCAGGCAAGAGAGATCCCACCCAGGCCTGCAGGGTTCCACTCCACTTCTCACAGCCACGCACCTTGGCGTGGCCAGGAGGATGTGTCCACCTGGAACCTGTGCCCACCAGCACCTCCCTCCTGACCATGATCCATGTACCCAACGGCACAGCTGGAATTCCCTGCCCAGACAGCCTGGCCTCTGATTGCAGGGCCTCTGCAGGCCTCCTTCCTGCCTGCCCCCCATGGACTCCACTGTGTGTGCCTCTCCGATATGCGGAGAGGCCAGGGCCTCAGGGTAACGGGTGTGGACACAGGCATTGGGATGTCCTCTGCATGCTCAGGGCCCTGCACAGTGTGGGATGGAGCTGGAGGCAGGCTGTGGAGTCGGGCTTGGAGGTGAACGTAGACAGCAACAGCACGAGACACTGCCCTGTGCAGCCTGTGCCTCAGCTGCCACTGTGCCCACCCGTGGCGCTCCTCTGCCGGGCATCTTTGCGCTGTGTGAGGTGGCCACTTCGGTCCCGGGCCTGGCTTCTGCCTTGGAAGGCGACATTCCCAGCGGGCGGGATTCCTCAGGAGCAGGAGGGCGTGACCAGATCCATGTGGTTGTAAGTAGGAATGAATGCCCCCTTCCTGCCGTGGGGCCCTGAGTCTTGAGGAAGCTGCTCGGGTTCTGTGACGCCCCTCTGCTCCCCAGCTGTCACTTTCCTTTAAAAAAATTTTTTTTCTTTATGGATTTTAGAGAAGAGAGAGAGAAACATCGATGAGAGAGAACATCAATTGGCCACCTTCTGCTTGCCCCCACTGAGGATTTGGCCCACAACCTGGGCATGTGCCCTGACCTGGAATTGAACCGGTGACCTCTTGTTGTATGGTTGATGCTCAGCCACTGAGCCACAGCGGCTGGGCCCCAGCTGTCACTTTTCATGTGTACGCTGAGCATGGCACTTCCTGCAGTGACAGGACGGTGCAGTCGGTGGTCAGTCCTTCCTGGAGGGCTTCTGCAGGGGACAGCATGTTCACTTTAATTTTTATACCTAATCTCTGCTTTTGCAATTCAGTTCACGCTGGAGTTTCTCATTCTGAGTTTAGTAGGAAATTGCTTCATGTCTCAAACGTGCATTTTCACTTTATTTTTAATAAACAAGTTGCTTTGTAGCTAAGTTCCATGTACCACATGGTCAGGTTGTCATATCCCGATGTTTCTAAATATGTCATAATCACCAAAAATTAAAGGGAACGATACCTGGAAGGTTCAGAGTGGCTTTTCCATGGGCTTTGTGTTTTCACACTTGATCTCCTGCAGGCTGCTGGAGGCAGGGCAACTGGCCAAGGCCTCCCGTGGCCCCGGCGCTGGCTGACCGCCCTGGCCGGGCAGCTGTACCTGGGCACGGCCTGGCCTCTGCCTGCCAGCTGGAAGCCACCCTACCGAGGGTGTTAGGGGCTCTGGGAAATCCTTAGGTGACAGGTATCACTGCACCTCAGGTAGGAAGAGGGAGTCTGGTTAATTTATTGGGGGAAGTTAACCTTTTGCCCTTTAATTGTTTTATTTTATGTGGGAAATTCATCCACAAAATCACACAGTGAAATATATCTGTGACTTTCCATTGTTGCCTATATTTTCTAAAATTATATTTTAATTTTACTATACACCATTTTCTTTTTTTTTTTTTTTTTTTATCCTTGCCCGAGGACACTTTTTCCACTTTTTGTTCAGGTAGAGTGGGAAGGAGAGAGAGGGGGAGAGAGAGAGAGAGAAACATCGACGTGAAAGGGACACATCGAGTGGCTGCCACCCGCACGACCAACCAGGGCTGGGGACAAACTGCCACTGAAGTACATGCCCTTAGCGGGAACCGAACCCGGGTCTCTCCGGGCCATAGGCCGACGCTCTAACTGCTGCGCCAGACCGGCCAGGGCGATACACCATTTTCAACAATCGTCAAGGACTGTGCAAAGGTGCCTCTGAAGAAGGAGGTTTCACTGCCGGCACCCCTTCTGCTGTAAGGGCTCTGCCCCCAGGGCTGGTCCGCGCCCTCCCTCCGTGGTCCGGCTGCTGGCTGCCCTGGGTAAGGCCGCCGTTCTCCACCTCCTCCAGACTCCAGGACGGCCCCTGCATTTCTGCTCCCCCTCCCTCCTTCCCAATTCGGGATTCACTGGGCTCTTACCACGCGCGGGGTGTTCGGGATGGCTCTCCTCACCCGGCATGGGGAGGGGAGGGGCAGCTCTGCACCTTCTGCCCCAGCCCAGGAGCACCCAGGAGCCACCCACTGATGCGGAGGGAGGCTGTCCACTTGGCACTCCTGCAGTGCAGGGAGGCAGTGTCTGCAGGGCCCCTGGGAGTGGCTCTGATCTGAATCTGCCCCGAGCTGGGCAGGGTCACAGAGGAGGGTGGGTGGAACTGCATGGCAGCCCCAGGAATCACTGCTGGGCACCGCAGGGCTGAATGGCACAGAAGGGGCATGCAGAAGGGCCTAGAGGGCAGGGGAGCAGGGTCAGGTGGGAGGGTGGGGGGCAAGGCCGGGGGCTGCAGGGCTGCCCAGTGAGATGGAGACTGAGGGCCCCTGGCATTCAGGGCTCAGCTTTGGTGGCCTGGGCAGCTGTCTCTGGGCAGGAGCAGGCGGCAGCTGGCATGCTGCTGAGTGTGGATGGAAGTGGAGGGGGAACATAGACTTTCTTGCAGAGAGGAAGGGGCAAGGTGAAGGGTTTAGGGCAGTGGTTCTCAACCTTCCTGATGCCGCGACCCTTTAATACAGTTCCTCATGTTGTGGTGACCCCCAACCATAAAATTATTTTCGTTGCTACTTCATAACTAATTTTGCTATTGTTATGAATCGCCATTGGAAATATGTGTTCTGATGGTTTTAGGCGACCCGTGTGAAAGGGTCGTTCGACCCCTAAAGGGGTCGCGACCCACAGGTTGAGAACCGCTGGTTTCGGGGGACAGGGTGTCAGCTCCTCTATGAAAGGTTTCCTGGGCCTTCCAGATAGATTCCCTTCTCTCGCTGTGCTCCCCTCCCCCAGTCGGTGAATTTCTCCCAGGTGCCATGTAATTCCCATCAGCTGCGGGCATTTCTGAGACGTACTGTGGGGGGCGGGGGACGCTGGCTGGTGCCGTGAGCAGGAGGATCATGGCGTCTGTCATGAGTCATGTTGAACCACTGGACCAGTGCAACCTTGGTCATGCTGTGTCCTTGCTCATTAGTCTAGAGTGAATAATAAGGTGTACTTAATTCATGTGTCTAGAGGAGAGTGTTAGTCAGGCTGTTCTGCAGACTGGGCATTCAGAGGCCTTAGGCTCAGGCCTTCCAAGCTTTCCAAAGGCCTAAGGAGATGACTCAGACCTCCAAAAATAGGAGACTCCGAATCCTAACAGTGAACCGCAGAAGCAGAGAGTGAGTGAGTGGTGAGCTGTCTGCAGGACGAGCTGGCCTTGCTGAAGGGTTCCGCATCTGTCGTCTGCAGTGCAAGTTCAGCCCTGCATGGGGTGGCGGTGGCGAGGGTGCAGAGGGCGCCTGTTCCCGCAGGGCTGCTCATCTCTGCGGCATCTGGTGCGTTCCCCGAGTTCTGTCTCGAGGGGTTCGATTCAGTTCTGCGTCTCTGAGTCTAGCTAACTACCAGGTGTGCGCATCTCAAGAGGCTAGTGGGGCCACGCTTTTTGTATTCCTTACCCTGTGACTTGATATTCTGAAACTGTAGAATGTACACTCCTTAAGCATGTGACTCATTTTTGTAAGCTTTATTCAGATGTCTGTTGAAATCTGTGTGGCGGTCCATGGCTTTAAGAGTCTTCATTCACCCGGCCAGGGTTGAGCGTCGCCCCTGCTCCCAGAGGTTGCTGGTTGGCCCAGTCAGGGCACATGCCCAGGCTGTGGGCCCAATCCCCAGTGGGGGCGTGCAGGAGGCGGCCAGCTGATGTTCTCACTCATTGGTGTTTCTATCTCTCCCTCTCTCTAAAGTCAATAAGGAAAAAAGAAAAGACCTTTCATTCAAACATATGCTTGTGTGTATTCTTCCTTCCCCAGGGGGACGTGCCCTTGCAGATGGTGACTTGCTCCTGAGCAGCGGGACCACTTCCTACAAGAAAAGGAGGTACCAAGGCTGGTTCACTCGAGGCCCACTGGCAGCTGAAGTCCTGCACCCTGTTTCAGGTGGTCCTGGGATACCCCCCATTGTATACAAAGAAATGGCTTATTTTTTGGTACATTTTCCTTTGGGACTACGTTTTATCAGGTTTCTGAAGGCAGCCCTGTGCCTCACGAGACCCCTGTCTGCGTCTTCCAGCCACCAGCTCTGCTTGGCGGCACCCCGCCTTCGGCTATGCGCCAGCATGGCCTCTTCCGCCCCCAGAACCCCAACACCTTTCCAGGAGCCCTCCTCCAAGCTGGTAGGGCCCTGCTCCCTCACACCCTGGTCACTCTGTTCCCGTTGACACTGCCCCGTCGCCAGGTACTTGTCTGTGGACACTGCCCCGTCGCCGGGTACTTGTCTGTGCGCACTGCCCCGTCGCCGGGTACTTGTCTGTGCGCACTGCCCCGTCACCGGGTACTTGTCTGTGCGCACTGCCCCGTCGCCGGGTACTTGTCTGTGCGCACTGCCCCGTCGCCGGGTACTTGTCTGTGCGCACTGCCCCGTCGCCGGGTACTTCTCTGTGGACACACCCATTTCCCAGCTGGCTGAGGAGCTCCTTGAGCCAGTCTCTGGATCATTACTTCTGTTTTTGTTCCCAGAGCCAAGCAAAGGTGCAGGCATTTAGTAGATGTTCAAAACAATGTCGAATATGGCAGTAATGAAGGCAGAAATGAATGAGCACCTGACGGAGTTTTATCAAAACCTCTATTTGTCATCAGAGCGTGGCTTAGCCATTTCGAATGGGTAACGTGTATGTTTGACCATTTACTGGACAATTTTCTCAGCCCTTAAATGAGGATGACTCATTTAATCTTCACAACAAATGTCCTTGAATAATATTATCATGTTCTCCAACTTGTCAGATGGGGAAACTGAGGCACAGAGGCTGCGTGCCCTTGATGGGATGTGTAGAACGTATCTTGTGACCACATGTGGCCAAATCCCTAAATTGTGACTGTCTTGAGAAGATTGCTGTTTCATGTTTCACTTTGTTTATTGATCTGTCACTGTTTTGTCTCTTACACTATGGCTCTGCCTGGCCTACAGGTGAGCAGGTGTTGAGGGACTTCCTGACTTGGCCAGACTTCCAGTGCCTGGCAGTAGGGGGGCTGGTCAGGTTTGGCTTCACACTTGGAATTTCTGTCATTTTGGGGTACAGTGGTGTTTGTGCTGATTTTTGTTGGGAGTAGGGTTTGTTTAGTCTTTGGTGAATTTTTCCTTTCCACTGTCCTTATTCTCTTTGGTCATGTGACCCTAACCCCCACTCTCATCGTCTGGAGCTGACCCCCCTGGCTGAGGGTCCCTGGGACTGATGTGGATTGAAAATGTCCCCTGCTGGGGTGAGGGGCCATTGCCCCATCCTGCTTTTTTCCAGGAGTTCTGGGGCAGGCTAAGTAAAACCTGGACCCATGGTCTAGCTTCCGTGTTTTACAGACCCTTAGAACAGGAAGAGGTCGGGGATCCTCTGACTTCCCGCTCCCCAGAACAGATGAGGGAACTGAGGCCCAGGGAGGAGTCATGTCCAAGGTCACCCTGTGGCAGCAGAACTCCGGCTTTGGACTTGCAGTTATGAAATGTTCTTTGTTCAGTTAATTGGGCATTTTTTTCTGAAAGATGCTCTGTGTGATTGCAGCCTGGAGTCTCCTTCCCTTCTCTCCGCCGAGGGCTCAGACGAGCCCGGTCCTGTAAGTCGGCAGCTGGCGCTGGCGTCAGCTTCGCGGTGCCTTTTGTTTTCAGTAAACTAACGTGAGTGTTGGACTGGCCTGGAGCTGGTACTTGGGAAACATTCTAACCTTTTATTTTCTTCCTCTTTAGCAGAGAGGGTTCTGTTGAGTCGAGGGCTCAGGGCCCTCGAATCGATTTGTGCAAACGTCCCCTGGAAGTCTGAGACTGGAACTTACTGCACATTGAGGCCCCTCCACAGGAGCATGTAGCTAGAACACCCTGCAAGGAAGAGGTCATGCTGGACATTCACTTCATTTGGGCTTGAGAAGTTTAGAAAGGAAGGCAAATTGAGTTTTTTCTTTTTCACACTCAATTCTGTTATTTTAGTGACATGGTTTCAGTAGGTAAAGCAAGGCATGGTCTCCTTCCGGCATGAAACCAGTGCCTGATCTGAGCACTCTGCCGTGTGTGGACACAGTTACGCAATGGAACAAGTTACCAGCACCTCAGTTTAATATGTAATCATATCGCTGAGCTATACCTGTTGTAGCTGACGCTAGTGTGGCCTTCTAAGCCACACGGCGGGAAAGGGGCTGTGGAGGTTTTGCTTTTATGTTTTACTTTGTGATACAATTAATAATGCTCATTATAGCAATTTTAGAGAGAAAGTTCCAGAGAATGGAAAAACACCCAACCACAAGAACCAACCCAATTGTAACATATTATCTTTTAACTCTTTTTTGGTGCAGTTATTCTGTTTTATACAAATAATTTAGTATCCTACCTTATAAGATGAAGGTGTGACCTTTGAGCTGGACCTGAAATTGTGGGGAGACTTTTGCAAGTGGGTCCCTTTAGTGGGACACATTCCAGGTGGGAACAAATCTCCATAAGTAACCTTGAGCTGGTTTAGGTCTAGTAAATAATCTACATTGGATGTAGTGTAGACATGATTTTGGGGATATTTAAATAGTATTCAAGACTAGAAATGAATATTGGAATAGATGATGCAAGTTTTACTAATCATAAATTGTTTGAATTTATCCCCAATTCTGTTAGAAATCTTTACCCCCACCCCAATGTCCTATCCAGAAACATGATCACATTAGTGATACAGGGAGAACAACACATCAGTGTGTCTTGGGGGTGAGGGTGGGGCAGATATGTAGTTTTAGAGATTTTCTGGAATAGTAACATTTCTTTTCTTTATATTTATTGTTGACAGTCTTACTGATGCTCCCACTTCTGCTCTGGTCTTTACTATTTCTTTCCTTCTACTCACTTTGGGCTTTGTTTGTTCTTTTTCAAGTATAAGGTTAGATTGTTTGATTTTTTTTCTTGTTTCCTGAGGTAGGCCTCTAGTGCTATGAATTTCCCACTTAGGACTGCTTTCACTGTGTCCCATAGATTTTGGGTTGTTGTGTTCTCATTTTCATTTGTTTCAAGGTAACTTTTGATTTCTTCCTTGATCTCATTGTTAACCCATTCATTGTTTAGTAACATGTTATTTAGCCTCCATGACTTAGTGTGTTTTTCAGTTTTTCTCCAGAGGTTGATTTTTAGTTTCATACCACTATGGACAGAGAAGATGCTTGATATGATTTAGTCATCTTAAATTTATTGAGACTTGTTTTGTGTCCTAACATGTGGTCTATCCTAGAAAATATTCCATGTGTGTACTTGAAAAGAATGTCTATTCTGCTGCTTTGGGGTGGAATGCTCTGAATATATCAATTAAATCAATCTGATATAGTGTACCATTTAAGGCCACAGTTTCCTTGTTGATTTTCTGTCTGGAAGATCTATTCATTGATATCAATGGGGTATTAAAATACCCTACTATGACTGTATCGCTGTCAGTCTCTCCTTTTATGTCCATCAAGATTTGCTTTACATATTTAGGTGCTCCTGTGTTGGGTGCATATATGTTTATCTGAGTTATAGCCTCCTGTTGGATTACTCCTTTTATCACTATGTAGTACCCTTCTCTGTCTCTTACTATAGCCTTTGCTTTAAAGCCGATTTCGTTGGACTCTACCAGGGAGAGTAACACCAGACATTGGTGTTCAACTGGCTACCTTTTATACACATCCAAACTGAGCAGAGGGAGCCAAAATCTGTGGAACATTAATACCCTCAGGGAGATTTTAGCAGGCTCCAAACCCTGTGGAGACAGCCCAAATGGCGAAACAAAGAAATTCAAAATGAAAGAACAAGATATTTCTCCAGAATAAGGGCTAAGTGAAATGGAGATAAGCAAGTTATCAGATATAGAGTTCACAGTAATGATTATGAGGATGCTCAACAGCATGAGAAAAGATATAGAAACAATGAAAAACGACCAATCAGAAATCATGAATGACATAGCAGCACTGGCCAGTTTGGCTTGGTGGTTAGAGCATTGGCCCTTAGACCAATGAGTCATGGGTTTGATTTCAGACAAGGGCATATACCTCAGTTGCCATTTGGTTTCCAGCCCTGGTCGGGGTTGTGCAGGAGGCAATGTGTCTCTCTCACATTGATGTTTCTCTCTCCTTCCCTCCCGCTCCATCTGAAGATAAAAGGGAAAATACCCTCAGGTGAGGGTTAAAATAAAAAATAAAAAAAAAAGAATGACATAGCAGAAATAACACATCAGAAGGAATAACCAGCAGATTAGAGGAAGCCGAGGATCAGATCAGCGTATTAGAAGACAGGGTAGAAAAAAAATCAACCAGAGAACCAAAAGGAAAAAAACAATTACAAAACAGAAAGTTTAAGAGAGCTGTGGGGCAATCTCTAATGTAACAACATTTGCATCATAGGAGTAACAGAAGAAGAAAATGAGCAAGAGTTAGAGAATCTGTTTGAACAAATAGTAGAAGAAAACTTCCATAACTTGTTGAAGGAAAAAGGCTTACAAGTTCAGGAAGGACAGAGAGTCCTAAGCAAGAACAACCCAAAGAGGCCCATGCCAATACACATCATAATTAAAATGCCAAAAATTAAAGACAAAGAGAGAATTTTATTTATTTATTTATTCATTTCTCTCCAATTTTTATTTATTTTTGTTACAGATGGTTCTCCTTTTACCTCCCTAAACCCCTCCTCCTCATCCCACCCCCTCCACTCCCATAGCATTGTTGTCCACGTCCATTGGTTATGCATACATGCATAATTTCTTTGGTTAATCTCATCAATCCCTCCTGTCCCCCTACTCTGAGGTTTGTCAGTCTGAACCATACTCCTTTCTATATCTCTGGGTCCATTTCGTTCATGAGCCCACCTTGTTCATTATATTCCACAAATAAGTGAGATCATGTGATATCGGTCTTTCTCTGATTGGCTTATTTCACTTAGCCTAATACTCTCCAGG